CATACGCGTTTCTTTCAACGCCCCTGTGTTTCCATGCTATATAGTTGCCGTTTCTCTTCTTGCTGCGCTCTTCTGAAATCACTGTTGGGTGCTTTTCTTGCGCACTGCGGGTCCTTCAGAATGCCAGTCAGCATCGAGTGGTCCTGAGTAGAATCGCCACTGTATCGAAAGGGTTGGGTACGTCACAGGGTAATGTTTTTTCTTTTCGCAACGCGAGGACATACGGCACCGGTGTGAATGGAGGAGGGGACAACTTAAACAAAACCACAACTGCGTGGTAATTCAATGTTTCGTTCTTTATTTGACCATCCTTCAATGTAGTGCGAGGCGGGGAGCGAGGCGAGGACGGGGGGAGGAAGGAAAGGAGGGGAAGGGAGGCAGGAATGCGTAAATGAAGTATAGGGAACTGGACGGAGCGGAAAGAATAATGCGGAGGGAAGGATAAAGGAGGAAGGAGGGATGAGGAGAAAAACACCTTCTCCTTCCGCCTCCGGCGCATTTTCCATCGCGTTCGACTGCCCCATCCTCCTTCTCCTCCTCCTTCACCTCCTCCTCCTACTCCTCCTTCTTTACCTCCTCCTCATCATCACCTCCTCCTCCTCCTCCTCCTCCTCCTCCTCCTCCTCCTCGTGTTGCGTCTCCAGCCCTCTCCTCCCGCTCAAGGTCCTCATCTGCCTTCTTGGGTGTGTCGTGGGGTCCGCACGGGGGCCTCTTGGATGCCTCTTGGAAGCGTTCTTGCAACCTCTCGGTGGCACCTCCCTCTGTGGGGAAACCAGCAGGTACGGATACCACTACCCCCTGGACCTCTCCTGGGGTGCGTTCTGACCAGAATGTCAATACGCATCCAGCGTTGGCGACGAGGGCCGCCCAGGAGGCCCAAAAAGGGGAAGGCGAGGAAAGGGTAGCGGTATGGGTACCTTATCCTCCTCGGACTCTGGTGGCCTCTTGGGGCCTCCTGAGCGCGCCTCTCGGGGCTGCCGCCTTCGGGATCCTCTTGGGGGGGTCTGCTGGGAGGTCTTGGCACTTGGGGAGCCTCCCGCGGGGGCTTCGCCAGCGCCTCCCGGGGGGCTCCTCGTCGGGGGCGCTCGGGGGCAGTGTCGGGGCAACGTCCGTGCAGCGTCCCCGGGCGTCTTGGGAGCCCCTTTAGGCCTCGCAGGGCTGCCTGGGGCGCCTCTCGGGGACGGCTGGGCGCTCTCGTAGGGGTCAGGCGTCCGCCTCCGAAAGGTATCGGGGGCGAGGAGGCGGAACGGCAAAGGTCATGTGTTGTCCTGCGGGTTCTGTGAAAATCCTTGGCGCTGTCGTCGGCGACCTTTTTTCTTCCCCGCCGAGTCCGAATCGGTAGGTCCTGCGCAATGGCGACAGGCGGCCTAGATGGTAACCACGACGGTGCGAATGTCAGTCCTGCCAAGGAAGTCAAAGATATTGGCGCAGAGCGCGGACGGGTCACAAGCGACGGCGGTGGATGCCTTCCACACACTCCGAGGCTCATGCACCTGATGTGTTAAAATTTATGTACAATATTCCCCCCCACAAACAAGCGAATTCACAGACGCCAGCACTGCATCTCGCAGGAGGGGCTGAGGAGGGAGCGGGAGAGAGGGTGTGGTGCGACTAGAGAGATAGAGGGGGGGCAGAAAAGGGGCGAAGGATAATTCTGCGTTGCGAGGGGATGCGTAAGAAAACGGCACCGTGCCGGGCGCGTGCGGGGACACCCGGGCCACGGCTCTCGGCACGGCCTCGTGACGGTGCTTGCACAAAGTGCCACCTCGCACAAGCCTGGGGTCGCCACGGCGCGGTCAAGGTGGCCACCCCGCTCCCAGCTCAAAAGGACGCCACAGGATCCCACACGGCTTAGGACTCTGTGCCGTGGTACCACGCCACAGGGCACCCTTCGGGCAGAGCCCAGCTCGCCAGATGCGGCGGTCCCATGGAGACGGCATGCAAAAAACGCTCAGCGATCAAAGCGCAAAGGATCCTCCCCCGACCTGGCTCTTGGGAGCATCCCAATCTGCCCCGCTCGGCTCCAGCCTAAGAACGCACCAGCGGTTGCCCGTATCTGCGTTGGTGTCTCATGCTTGAACGTGGGACCATGGTGTGCCCAGATGCTCCAGAAGCGGCGCTGAGCCCCTTGTCGTCAGATGGGAGCAACAAACAGCTGTCTCCGCATACGACAGACGACGGAGAGGAGCGCCTCTTGAAGGAAACACCTTGGCATCGATCACGGATCAGTTCAAATGGAAGATCTCTCCCCTGATTGGGAAGCCTAGCTACTACACTGCCTGCGAGACAGTTGGCTCGAAGCAGCGGCATGTCCAAAGCAATTGCTTTCAACGGCATGCAAACAGTTCATCTAACTACACTAGGCAGCAGGGCTCGAAAGCCAAAGAGAAACTAAGTCAAAGGTCGTGGGCACAACCATCAACATATACATGGTGGGTCGCACCATGTATCTAGGTCGCTAGTGGATACCACTACCGTATGGAGTACACGTCACGCCAGTGAAAAACACATATAACATATTATATGTTATATCAACTTGAAAACGTATCGACATGCCTGCTTGACCATTCGGCTCGAGAGAAGCTGCGCCATTCAAGTCGGCATCTGAAACCTCCGATTGCTGCTATACTGCGAGAGGGCGAAGAAGGATAGACAATGTTAGCTAATGAATCGGACGGGGTGAAGTGGATCAGAGCAAGGTGAATGGAAGCAATGATGGAGATGCGCGGAGCACAAACAAATACTGCCACCAATGCCGAGCAGTACTGGCATCACTCCGTCGGCATGGACTCGGCCTGCGAAGTCTAATCACGTGACCCGTGATTCCGACCAGCACGTGTTGACCCATGCTCTGGTACAATCGAGGAGAGCAGGCGGATGATGTCGCCCTGCCTGCGCATACAAAGGTGAACATCCAAGCTTCTGGCTTGTCCTTGCACTCTCGAGACTCCATCGATTAACTCGGCTGCGCTGATTGCACCTTCGTTGTTCTTATCAAGCAATGTGAACAAGGAAGCTGCGTCAGACGGATCGAGACCCATCGATGCCAACCACAATTTGACATCGCGATTACGCATCAACTGGAAGAACTCAGTCTGGTCGAGCTGTCCGTTCGCGTTTCTCATGTCCCCGGCCTCCAGAAGCTTGATCATGCTATTCCTGTGGTCTCGTATCTTGGATTCTTGCTCGTGCATCACAATGTGATCGTCGCTGGCCGCAGCTTTGAACGTCTCTTGGATGAAGATGCCATTGATGATTCCGACGACCGCCAAACCCACGGTAAGCTGATACGCGATACATACGAATATGAACCACTCACTCACGTGCTCGATCAAGACCCGATAGATCCCGAAAGAACCCGACAGCGCCATCTGAAACGTGCTCAGCATCGCCCGCGAGAAGGATCCGAAATACCTGAAGACGGCCTGCTGCTCCGCCTGCGGATGCCTGTCGTCCCCGAAATACATGAAGTGAAGTATCTGGCTCAGGAACAGCGCAGACAGGACCTGGAACGCGAACAGAAAGGCACAGGACCAGAACAGGATGGTACGACTGTTCATGAACGAAGTGTACATGAGAAACAACGCGTCGAAGGAACGTATGTGGCGGAACCTTGCCAAACGCAACAGCCGGGCAAGGCGCGCAAACCGTAGGTAGGTGGGGTTCAAGCCTGCAGCAGACAGGAAAATCTCCACAACCCAGGCGAAAAAGACCGCTAGATCAAACCAGTTCCACGAAGTAGCGAAGAACTCCCCACGCAAGACCATCAGTTTGAAGATTAGCTCAGCCGCGAACGCGAGGCCGAAAACCCAGCCCATGGCGTCGAAGAAACCGCTGGCTCCCGTCCATGGATCAGGATCAGTGTATAATGGGTACTCGAGAGCATAACCAAGCTTGAAACCCTCGTGCTGGAGCTCCAATGCCATGCAAGCGCAGTTGAGCGTGACGCAGGTGACGACGATGGTCTCGAAGTGGGCGCTGTTCAGAAAATCTCTCCAACTGCTGAACGGCACCGTGCTGAAATTGCTGCCTTTCGGCCGGAACATCTTTCGCGAAATTCTCCGGTCGATGTCATCGTCATGCTCCTGCGTCGACGCGGCATCCGTGCCCGATCGCCTCCCGCCTGGGACTTCCAGGCCGGCTCTGCCCTTGTTCTCCAACGGCAGCACCTCGCCCGGCAGCTGGCACGGCGACTCGCCGAGGCTGGCCGCCCCGCCGGCCTGCTCCGGCGGGCCTGGGGCGCAGGGCTCGGCCGCCGCCAGAGGGTCCGCGAGGGGCCCCTGGGTGCCGCCGCAGCCGCCCTCGGGCGCGCCGGCGCGCGGCTGCGCCAGCCGCGCCCCGAGGTCCGCGGCCAGCGACGCGTGCGCGGCGGCGAGGTCCACGCGCAGGGACGCCAGGCCCTCCTGGTGCCGCCGCTCGAGCTCCGCGCACGCGGCCGCGGCCTGAGCCTCGAGCGCCCGCGCCAGCCACGCGCAGTGCTCCTCGGGCCCCGGCGGCGTCTCCGGCGGGCCGCCCGCCCCCGCTGGCGCGGGGCGCCCCGCGGGCTCCGTGGCGCACGAGGCCGCCGGCATTGGGCGCGGCGAGGTCGTCCGCGGACGAGGGGGGCGCCGTGGGGCGGCGGGTGGCGGGAAAGGCTGGGGGGGGGGGAGCGCAGGCTGCTAGCAGGGCTTGAGCCCAAACGGCTACGGGCTACGGGCGCTGTCGTCGGCGACAGTGGGAGCCCCTCGGAAGCCTCTTGACTTGGCGTTCTCTTGGGCGCTCGTGGCCATCCTGGCTGAAGCCGCGCTGGGATCGCAGCGCCTGCAATGAGGGCCAAGCAAAGCAAGTGTAATGCGCAACAAAAACCTACTTGGGAACGGCTGACAGACATCATGACCGCAAGCAGGAAGCAGGTGTGAAACGCAGAGGGGCACAGAACACAAGGCGAAAGCTGAGGAGCCCACAGGGCGGCAGAGTCACCGCGCAAGCGCTCTCTTCGCTCTCCCCCCCGGTGGCCTCGCCTCGTGCAAGCCGAGCCTCGTGGCGACGGGGCTGAACGTGGGCTCGCTGACGCTGTCCTGGCGGCCGAGGCGGAGGGCGCGGGGACGAGGTTGCCAGAACGTCGACCCCACAGGTCTCGGCCCATGCCCCGGGACCCGTGTTTCGGGGGGGGGTCTGGGGTAAGGTACAGTCGGGGCGTTGACCCAAGGAACCCGAAATAAGGAACGAGGCCCCTTTTTCCCATCAGTTAAAATCCGATTTCCCATCGAAAACCTAAGGAAAACCTAAGGCAAGCTGCGAAACAATCAAGGAACACGGAGCCCCTCCCCAACGAAAAGGGTTCCTTCTTCAGGGCCCCGACTGTAAGGGCCCCCAGAGGCCGAAGACAGCGCAGCGCCTCCGGCCCGAAGGGGTGAGGGCCCGGGGTCCGCCAAGGCGGCGGCGCGCGGGAGGGCGGGCGGCCGCGGCGGGGGGGCCGGGAGCGGGCCGGCCGGAGGGCTCACAGGGGATGCCAAGGAGAGGTGACGCACAGAGGCGTGCTGGGACTGGACGCTCGCGGAAACTCTGCACCCAAAAACGTCTTCATCTCTCGGGGCGCACTGTTTTTTACTTCCGCCACCTTCCGCCGCCCTTCCGCCGCCCTTCCGCCGGCGAAGGCGGCCGCGTTTTACTTCCGCCGACCTTCCGCGCCCTTCTGCCGCGGAAGAGATGACAACTGCTTCTCATTTCGAAGGCACGGCCCTTTTGGGAACGCCACACATGTCCTCCTTGGAGTCGCGCGTCCGACCCGAACATATAGTATACCCATCTTATAGTAAATCGTTTCCCGAGCGGTGTGGCCAGAAAGCGCCCGCCACGACGCACATGCTGATGCTGTAAGGTGTCTCGGTGAGCGTCGCCCCCTGTGGGGGGGTGGACGACGCACAAGTGCACGTCGGTCGGAAGAAGTAGGTAGAGACATGAAGTAGGAAGGCGGATATAGCAGATTGGGTCTAGCTCCTTCCAGGGAGTAACAAAACACAACAAACGCATGTCGATTCTTGAAGGAGGAAGGCGCTCGAAGTAGATTGGGATCTGGGAATCCAAAAATACCTACTTTCAACGACCGGCGTGTACTGTCAGTATGTTGGGGTGACGCCGACGAAGAGGTGAAGGAGCAGGCCGCAGCACGACGACATGGTCGGCCACGCCCTCGTGAAGCCGCGGAGCTTCCTGGAATGCCGTGCACATCGACCACGGCACTGCAGCGTGCAGCGCCACCGTCTGCGGGCATGGGCGCGCTTCAAGAGAGCCCCTTCGGGCCTCTGGGGGCCGCTTGGGTTAGGTCGGGCGTGTCCTCCTACAGGCGGAGTCGGGACGAAACATCAAACATGCCCGACGAATATTCAAACACAATCAATCAAACAAATCCTCCCCAGAGGAGTTGGCGATTTGAATAAGCACCCTCCAGAGGGACAGGCCCGACGGAACTCCTGGGGCCCCTTTGGGGGCCCCTTTGGGAGATCCCGCGGGCACCGCCTCCACCTGCCCTGGCGGGCAGGCCGAGGCAGCGCACAGCCAGGGGGCAGCGCTCGCTCCGGCGGCGGCGCGAGGCGGGCAGGCGAGCGGCGAGCTGCGAGGCTCGAGGCCTTGGGCGTTCTCGCCGGCTCTCGGCGGCTCTCTCAGGGGAACAAAACAGTCCAGTCGGGGCCCTGAAGAAGGAACCCTCTTCATTGGGGAGGGGCTCCGCGTCCCTTCCGTGTTTCACAGCTTGCCTCAGGCTTTCCTTAGGTTTTCGGTAGGAAATCGAAGTTTGACTTCTGGAAAAAAGGGGCCTCGTTCCTCATTTAGGGTTCCTTAGGTCAACGCCCCGACTGTAACCTAAACAGAAAAACTCGGAGGTCCGCGCGGATTTCTCGGATCGGCGCTGGGGCCCCCCGGCGGCGCCTCCGGCGCCGCCCCTGGCGCGCTCCGCGCGCCAGGGAGGGGGGTCCAGCGCCGATCCGAGAAATCCGCGCGGACCTCCGAGTTTTCATGTTTATGCCACTTGTTGCTCCCCCATTTCTGGCCTCAGGATGCCTGCCAGCAGCTGCGCCTCGCCGAGGGCGCTCCGGAGCGTCCCGAACAGACGCCGGAGACCCGGGCCAGGACCCGAAAGCCACACTCGGCGGCGGCGCGCCCGGGGGGGGAGTGAGAAGGAGAAGGCCTTCTCGGAAGGCCGCGGGGCTTCTCAGAGGGCCTCGCGCCTTCCGAGAGGTTCCCTGTGCCTTCGGGGAAGGCTCAAGGAACTTCTCAGAAGGCCGGGGGACTTCCGAGCGTTCGGAGGAGGCCCGCCCCCCCTCGCTTCTCCCCCTGGGGGCTCGCCGCTGAGCCAAAGTGCGCGATGGACGGTGCATCGACAAAATGTTGCACCGCCTGGCGCGGACGATAAATCGTATCGCTGTTCTATAAGCGTTTGTTTCCCCCGCCCCCACCCGATCTTGACATTGGGTTCAGTCCGGGCTGGCCGAAACAGCTTGGTGGTGCAACATTTTGCCGGGAGCCCCCGGGCGACCCAGTGGCTCTTCGCCATGCACCCAATATATTATCATCGGGGGGAAAGGGGGGGGGGAAAGAGCAATGCAGGATAGGCGCCACTGCGCAGCAAAAGTGGTGCAACATTTTGTCGACGTACGGGGTGCATCGAATGTCCTCAGCACTCCGAAGTGTTGAGGGAAATCCTGGAGGCCAGGCGCAGCACCGTGGGACCCAGTTCACGTCGGTTCCACGCAGGACTTACGTCGGGCTCGCGTTGGATTCACGTCGGATTCGTGTCCGCCTTGCGTCGGAGCATCGCTGCGCGAACGTCAACCCGTATCTTCCGGAGCAGACGTGTGGACTAGAAACCAAGAAGAGGAGGAGGAGGAGGAGGAGGAATGAGGAAGAGGAGGAGGAGGAGAAGGAGGGGAGCCACCAACTGCCAAGTGATCGAGAAGAGTCAGTGGCAGTGCGCAGAAAGGCTACTACATTGGCACCCATTTTCATTATGAAACCTATTGCACAATTTTTCCCCAAACAGCTTGCTGAACGGGGTGCTGTTGTGATAGAAGCTAATTCCGGCCGAGGGAAAGCGAAGCAGAGACATCCTCAAACAAATGTGGTGGTCCGGCCCGTTTCGCCTGAGACATCCTCACAACTCTCGTTTCTGAGTTGTCCGGGATTGAGCGTTTCGCCTGAGACATCCTCCTAAATCTGAGCTCTGAGAGGCCGCGCGAGAGGTGGTCCGGGCCGTTTCGCTTGAGACATCCTCGAAACTCTGAGCTCCCAGATGCCGCGCGAGAGGTGGTCCGGGCCGTTTCGCCTGAGACATCCTCGCAACTCTGAGCTCCAAGATGCCGCGCGCGAGGTGGTCCGGCCCGTTTCGCCTGAGACATCCTCGAAACTCTGATCTCCCCGATGCCGCGCGCGAGGTGGTCCGGCCCGTTTCGCCTGAGACATCCTCGAACTTCTGAGCTCTGAGATGCCCTGCGCGAGGTGGTCCGGCCCGTCTCGCCTGAGAAATCCTTGCAACTCTGAGATCTGAGATGCCGTGCGCAAGGTGGTCCGGCCTGTTTCGCACAAGATATTCTCGCAACTCTGAGCTCTCAGATGCTGCGCAAGAGGTGGTCCAGCCTGGGGGCCCAGAAGGCCACATGTTACATATCCTCCATGGGACCCTGCGAGCCTCAGGAGGCCCCAGAGAGGTCCAGGAGGCCGCAGGACGCCCAGGACAGGCCCCAGGGGCCCCCAGGAGATTCCCAGGAGGCCCCAGGAGGCCCTCTATCAGAACGTGTCAAGTTAATACACATCCGGTGTCGATTCGTTGATTTTTCCTGCTCTTGTGCCCCCCCCTCCATTTGGAGAGGCCCAAGCGGCCACAGGTTAGATATCCCCCCTGGGAGCCCCAAGATGCTTCAGGAAACCTCAGGTGGAGTTCAGGAGGCCACAGGAGGCCCAGGAGGAAGCTCCAGGAGGTCCCCAGGAGGCCCAGGAGGCACCAGGAGGCCGCAGGACGCCCAGGACAGGCCCCAGGGGTCTCCAGGAGATTCCCAGGAGGCTCCCAGGAGGCCCCAGGAGGCCGCTTATCAGAACGTGTCAAGTTAATACACATCCGGTGTCGATTCGTTGATTTTTCCTGCTCTTGTGCCCCCCCCCCCCTCCATTTGGAGAGGCCCAAACGGCCACAGGTTAGATATCCCCCCTGGGAGCCCCAAGAGGCTTCAGGAAACCCCAGGTGGAGTTCACGAGGCCACAGGAGGCCCAGGAGGAAGCTCCAGGAGGTCCCCAGGAGGCCCCAGGAGGCACCAGGAGGCCCCCGCAACTCGGAGCTCTGAGACGCCGCGCTCGAGGTGGTCCAGCCCGTTTCGCCTGAGACTTCCTCGCAGCACGTTTCGCCCGAGACATCGTCGCAACTCTGGGGTCCGAGATGCCGCGCGCGAGGTGGTCCAGCCCGTTACGCTGGAGACATCCTCGCAACTCTAGGCTCCGAAATGCCGTTCGCGATGAAGAGGAGGTGGAGGAGGAGGAGGAGGAGGAGGAGGAGGAGGAGGAGATGGAAGGGAGAAGGAGGAGGCGGATGATGTGCATGAGGGAGCAGGCAGGAGGAGGGGGAGGTCCCAGAGAGCTTCAGGAGGCCGCAGGACGCCCAGGACAGGCCCCAGGGGTCCGCAGGAGATTCCCAGGAGGCTCCCAGGAGGCCCCAGGAGGCCCTCTATCAGAACGTGTCAAGTTAATACACATCCGGTGTCGATTCGTTGATTTTTCCTGCTCCTGTGGCCCCCCCCTGTATTTGGAGAGGCCCAAACGGCCACAGGTTAGATATCCCCCCTGGGAGCCCCAAGATGCTTCAGGAAACCTCAGGTGGAGTTCAGGAGGCCACAGGAGGCCCGGGAGGAAGCCCCAGGAGGTCCCCAGGAGGCCCCAGGAGGCACCAGGAGGCCCCCGCAACTCGGAGCTCTGAGACGCCGCGCTCGAGGTGGTCCGGCCCGTTTCGCCTGAGACTTCCTCGCAGCACGTTTCGCCCGAGACATCGTCGCAACTCTGGGGTCCGAAATGCCGCGCGCGAGGTGGTCCAGCCCGT